TTACTTTCAATAGACAGAGAGTGTAAACCAGAGTAAAAACCAGTGCTCTGGAGTGAGAAAATCAGGTGGCCAGTCTCCAAAATTTACTATTGAAAAAGTTAAACTACACCCGAAATTCTGCCTCAAAAAGCAGATGCCATGTCATTCTGCCAGTCATGACAGAAATATCTTGAGAGACTTCTTTCACAGCATTTAGGTGTTCTGTTACCAAAATATCAATTGCCAATACACAGAGGCTGCTTGGTTTTACAGTTAATGCATACAAAGCATCCTGGCATGTGTGTAGCCATGGCTGTTGCAGGGTGAGCAAGTTGGACAGATTTCCTAGTGTCTCCTAAAAGGCTCTTATAGATACCTTGCTTGAGTGAGAAAGACAAGCTCTGGTCCCCCTGATATTATTTGTATGCAGATCATGATTCTTGAAGCTTCTGCAATTGGGAAAAGGCTACATGTTGAGAGTACATTATCCTGGTCAGAGGTATATTCCAAAGTTCTGAGTTGATAAAGAAATGAAGGTCCCTGAGTCCCTAGTAGACAAGCGCCAGCTCCTATCCTGGTGTAGTAGCACAGTCAGTCATTCATTCACCCATCTCATTCATTTATTTGATATTTGTTGAAAGCCAACTATGCGACAGGATGCATATCCAGCAAAAAGCGTCTCTCAACTTTGGGAAGGATAATACAAAGCAAGAAAAAATGTTGTCCCTATTGTCCTTCTCACTTACTGGTTCTTTACTCACTCACATACTTACATACAGTAACAGAGAAAGCTCCTTCCATTCAATCCTAACAAATACCAGCAGTCTGGGATACCAKTAAAAGTACACCTCTCATCTCTTACTCTGCCCTGGCCTCTCAACTGAGAATTCTGCTGACTTGGTCAATTTGTTTTCCTATGCTGAACCTCAGAGGCAAACTGCTACAATTTTAGCTAGGATGTCTCCCTGAGATACTGCATAACTCAGATGACTGTGATCCTTTATAGGACACAAGCTTAAGATGTATCTTGTTTGCCAAGGCTTGAAAAAATATCTTCCAGAGGCACAAATGAAAAGAGAGGCTGGTCAGAGAGCAGCAGGGGTGGGAGGAGCGTGGGATGGAATGAACTGTGCAGCAAGGAGTCAGGGACCCAGGGAGTATTGCCAGCAGCCCTGGGGAGAACATATCCCATGGCTGAACTCTTTAAMGAGTATTCATACTTTTACAGAAACTTTTTTGTGGGGGCGGAGGGGTTCTTAATGGGTCCCTTTAGTTAACTTACATGTTATGCTTATTGATAAATTTTGGCTTGTTTCTACATTTTTTCCCATACTGGAAATTGAACTCAGGGGGCACTCTACCACTGAGCTATATCCCCAACCCTTTTTATTGTTTTTGCTTTGAGATAGGGTCTCACTAAGTCACCCAGGTTGGTCTTGAACTTCTTGATCCRCCTGCCTCAGCCTCCCAAGTCCCTGGATTACCAATGTGAGCCACTGTGACTCATGGTGTTTTTTTTTTTTTCATTTATGAACTTTAATAGATCATACATAGATGGGATATAATTTCTCATTTTTCTGAGTGTATATGTTTGCAGAATCATATTGGTCATGCATTCACATATATACATACAGTAATAATGTCTATTTCATTTTATTATTTTTCCTATCCCCACATCCCCTCCTTTTTCCTCCCATCACTTCCCTCTACCTAAGGTAATCTAAGATAACACTATTCTTCTCTAGTACCCCCACCTTACTGTGAATTAGCATCCTTATACTAGAAAAAAAAAATTGGCCTCTGGTTTTGTGGGATTGGCTTATTTTGCTTAGCATGATATTCTCCAAATCCAACCACTTACTGACAAATGCCATGATTTCACTCTTCTTTAAAGCTGAGTAATATTCCATTGAGTACATATACCACATTTTCTTTATCCATTCATCTATTGAGGAACACCAAGGTTGATCCCATAGTATAGCTATTGTGAATTCAGCTGCTATAAACATTGATGTGGCTGCATCACTATAGTATATTGATTTTAAGTCCTTTGGGTATAAACCAAGGAGTGGGATAGCTGGGTCAAATGGTGATTCCAGTTCCAGTTTTCTAAGGAATCTCCATAGTGCTTACCATAGTGGTTGCACCAATTTGCAGTCCCACTARCAATATATGAGTGTACCTTTTCCACCACATCTTTGCCAACATTTATTGTTGCCTATATTCTTGATGATTGCCATTCTTTACAGAAACTTTTAAAAATGCATATTTGGAATTAATATTATCTACTTTAAAAAAGTATACAAATAAGTAATATATTATGATAACTGAACAGATAAGAGAAGCTGGTAAGAATGCCTCATTTCCCCCATGATTTGGAGTTATCACTATAAGCGTTTTCATTCCTTTTGTTTAAAATTATATTTTTAGAACTTCTGCTGACTCTGAGATTGTCTCAAAATTAAAACTGCCACATAATCAGATGCATTTGGGATTTCATTGTCTGACCCCCTTGCTGATAAGGATCAGGTCATGGTCCTCAGTTTCAYTGACTGGAAGAAAATATTGCAAGAACTTTCCAGGGTAACTCATCTAATTAGATCAAAAGTAAATGAGGGCTGGGATTGTGGCTCAGTGGTYGAGYGCTCGCCTAGCACGTGCAAGGTCCTGGGTTTGATCCTCAGCACCACATAAAAATAAGTAAATAAAGATATTGTGTTCAACTACAACTAAAAATTTTTTTAAATAAATAAAGTAAATGAAGCATCGTTGGTTTTTGCCTCTTGTTTTATTCTTCTCTTTGTACTTGAGAAAGCACACTTAATTTGAAAGGTTTAGGACCAAGTTAAGGGAATAGATATAAGTAAATTAGATAGGTATAAATAAATGTAACAACAACAACAATMATAAACCCTTATTTCTCTAAATCGACATTCACTTCTTATTGCCAGTTTAGTTCAGTGAGGTATTTGTCATTTTGTGGATTCAAAATGTTAAATAACAAGATAGAAAGCAACCCAAAATACAAACCAACAAATCAGTACTCATCCAAGGAATAAACAAATGACTTTAGTTCATYTGAATATACATACTCTTCTATCATTCATAGAGTATCACTCATTATGCACATAATGATTGAGCACTTAACGTATGCCAGATGTCATTCTAGACATCAGAAATACAATGGTTTATTTTTTTTTTTTTGGTGGCTTAAAGGAAAAATTCTGTAATTCATGATGCTTACATTGTGGTTGGAAAGACAGAACTAAATTATATAAATATGATAAATACACAATACATAAGAAAGTGGTGAATGCTAAGCAAAAAGACTAAGCAGGGAGAAAGAATGAATGTGAATATTTTAGACAAGATGAAAARAGCCCCATTGAGAGTACAACTTCTGAGTAAATACCAGGAGATTGTAAGGGTGCTTGCTAGCCACCTGAAGAAAACTTTCCAGGGAGAGTGAGCAGCCGTGAATAAGCACTGAGGCTAGTACTTGGCATGTCTGAACATCAGTGATACCACCACTGCAGTTTCTGAAAAAGGAGTGAGTGACGGACCTAACATATTCAGRTATCTTCATTATCATCATTATCATCATCATCACTTTTCATCATTCTCAGAAAAACTTTAACAGAAAGATTAAGCACCACCACTGAAGGATRGATCATACAATATGCACTCAGATATAGAGAGGTAAATTGGGTGTCAATGAAAGAACATTCAGTGCAGGATGGGCTGGGAGTACCAGCATTTGCTACACCTTACAAAAAAATAGTTTAGCTATAGTGTGTGCTATTAAGCCTTCCAGAGCAAGCAGCTTTTACTTTTACCACAGATCCAGAAACAGATCTTGATCCTTCCACACAAATTGTCATTAGTTTTCATATAAACAAAATTAATTCATAAACTATTCATACATCTTACTAAAAATTAAGTATCCTTTAAATATTTGAAAATACCACCTCTCCTATCTTTGAATCTGTTTTGTGATATTCTTTAGATTTTAAGTGTCCAACACATATCTTTTAAAAGGCGGAGGGGGGYGAAGTGCTGGGGGTTGTGGCTCAGTGGTAGAGTGTTTGCCTAGCACACATGAGGCACTGGGTTTGATCCTCAGCACCACATAAAAATAGAGATATTGTTGTCCACCTAAAACTAAAAAAATAAATATTTTAAAAGGGGGGTGGTATTTACCATTGTGTCTAAAGGAAAGGCAGCTCTACCACATCATCAATTTTTGAGAAGACCTTAAAAGAAGGCTCGTTGTTCTATAAACCACTTAAAGCCCAAATCCAGAACTGGAATTGAAATGAAATGATTGGCACTAACTACTAGATGGCACTTCATATCAAATGCCACCACTAAACTTCTATTGCTTTTTTTTTTTATTTAAAGAGAGAGAGAGAGAGAGAGAGAGAGAGAGAGAGAGAGAGAGAGAGAGAGAGAATGAATTTTTAATTTTTAATTTTTTTTTTTTTTTTTTAGTTTTTTCAGCGGACACAACATCTTTTGTGGTGCTGAGGATCGAACCCGGGCCGCATACATGCCAGGCGAGCACACTACCACTTGAGCCACATCCCCAGCCCCTTCTGTTGCTTTTTGAAGTGTCTTACTCATTACACTTTCTATGGCTGAGCTATAACCTTAGCCCCTCATTACACTTTCCATAGAGAATTGTCATTGAATCATTTGTAATGAACTTCCCATTATCACTGAGACAGCATCTATTATTATATTTACAAGACCATTTGTTTTAAGCCATAACTGGTTATTCAGACACAATTTAAAAGCCAGTACTTATGAGCAAATTAGTGACAGGTTGGCACTCATAGACGGAAATGGCACTTTTTAAAAAAGTTATTCTTAAAACGAATTGGAATCTCTTAAGGGATAAAAGAGAAACTAACATGTTACCCTGTAGTTCTTTTCTAGTTCTAATTAGGTATTTTATGCTTTAAATTTTGGAATAAGCAACCAAGATTCACAGCACAAATACACTGCACATGGACACTTACCATTTGACTCTGAAGCCACTCAATAAGTGTTTCTGCTGTAGAATCGGGAATCTGGCATCTCAAGCCCTCCTTCTCATCTGTTTCCATCATCTCTAACAATCCACGAAGATCTTCTACAAGGTGTAGAGCTCGCAAACTTCCCATGAATGGAGAGGTGGGAGACTGGCAATCGAAGATCCCATTGGAATATTCCAGGGCCTTAGAACCTAGATTAAAAAAAAAAAAAAAATCAGACAGAAAGCAAGAGAATTTATGATAGATAAAACATCATAGCTGAAGGGGGTAAACCACCTAATTAATCAAAACAAGAAACAGGGTAAGACAACAATTTTATCATGTAAATCTTCCCAAGTCACAGATATTTGATGGAAAAATAAAACCATCTAATTGATGATACTTATCAATGGTGCAATATCTAAGGAGGCCAACTGTGTGGTATAAAAAGAAAAAGAACATGGTAGTCCTTGATGTAAGGTGTGCTGCGCCCAGAAAACAACAGATAAGAAGGTGGCACAGCAGTTTTGGTAGAGTAATGCATTTTAGAAAACAAAAATTTTAGAGAATTTATAGTCTTCAAATTCCTTGAAAAGGAGTTATGCATGGAGGCAGAAATTTTTTTTGTTTTTTATTTCAGATAAAAATATTTTTATTAAAAAAAATTTTAATGTAAAGAAAATGTGTTGCTCCTAAACCTATCATGTATGTGCTCTGTCAATCAGCTTTTCATTTCTGTAACGAAACCCCTGGGATTATTAACTTAACAAAAGAAAGTATCAATTTTTGCTCATAGTTTTTAGGGGCTTCAGTCCATGGTCAGTTGGTCCATTGCTTTTGGGCCTGTGGTGAGGCAGTACATTATGGAGGGAATGCATGTCATAGAAGACCTGTTCACCTCATGGTGGTCAGGAGGCAAAAAGAGAAAGGAAGGGAGCAAGGTCCAAACATCCCTTTCAAGGGCATGGGAGGCAGAAATTTGATAGCACAATTCCAAAGACAAGAAGTCCAACTCCCAGTTAACTTGCCAGAATTTAATCTCTGAAGTTCAATGAATTACATGTGTACATTTGTATATGCAAGTGTGAGCTTTGTGTATAAACATTTCCCCCTATTATTTTTTGGCAGCCTAGCATCAACTTCTCATTAGCATCAACTTTAAAAAATAGTTTTTACTATCTTTAATGTAGCTTAGTGGTAGAATGCTTGCCTAGCATATACAAAACCATGGGTTTGATCCCCACCACTCTCTCCCCACTTGGAGGAAAAAATTATGGACATTTTGTTTTCCTGTTACTTACAAGAGAAAACATTACACTGCTTAAATTCATACAACTGATCCAAAGCCCATTCTGAAAACAAGCATATATTGCTCTTTGTCTCTTTTATTTTTATTTTCTGATCTGTCCAAAATGACTTAAATTTCTGGCTTAGGAAATGGCAGATAGAGGGTTATGAAATGAAGTGAGATACAGGCTACTAGAGAGACTTCCAGGGAAAGATACTAAACTCCATTTTTGTTTGTTTGGTTGGTTGGTGTTTTGTGCTAGGGATTGAACCCAGGCATACATTACATAACTCAATGTTTTAAATAATGACACTGATGTACCTCTATGACATTTCAGGGGAGAGATCTGGCTGGCAATTAGTTATAGACCTGAAGTTTAGTGGATTGGGACTTTACCAGAGTCACTGGTAAAGTGTATATTGAAGAGAACAGATCATTCTTGGATGTGGGGTAGAGCACTAACCCTCAAAATAAGGTCCATGAACCACTGACATCAGAACAGCCTGAGATGCAAATTCTTTAACCTTGATGAAAAATCTAGGATAAAAWTGGAATTTTTGACATTTAAAAATAAAATTTGAGAATAATTCTGGTAGAGAATGGAGAAGAACAAAGATAAAATCATGGGGAACCTAAAGACATTGGGCAGAGAACTAATAGTGAAAATAAGACAAAGTGTAGGAAGTAATCGAAGAGTTGTAATGAAAAAGTCAAATGAGCAGAGGAACTGTCRTTATTCCATTCTTCAGAAGATCAGATTACCTGCTATAATACCATCCATTTGCTCTAGTGCCGCAGCCAACATKTCACTTGCATCACTCATCATTTTCTTATTTTTCAATGGCAAATTTGGATGAAGATCTGAAAAGAAATAATATCATTACATGCTTAAAATGATGCATGCCTGCTAGTGGAGTCTGCTAATTCCACTTCAAATTATAACTCCACTTGGCAGTCAAATAGAGAGAGAGAGAACTTCAGAAGTCGTGGAGCTGAATTAACTGAATTTTTYAATATGCTGTGGCCAATCATTTACTGTAATGTACCCATATCAGTTAATAAAATAAGTTTTAGTTCTTGCACTCAGGGTTATTTAAAGTTCAGTAGAGGCTTGCAGGTATAGCTCTTAGGTAGAGCATTTGCCTAGTATGTAAAAGGCTCCGTTTTCACTCCCCAGCACAGCAATCAATCAATCAATTAATCAATCAATCAAAACCCAACACAATGATTTCCATRTTGTTCTCTTTAGAGCCCCAGGAGTCTGCAAAGGGCATCAGGAAGGTGATAAAAGCCTAATGAGGGCTGCTGATAGATAAGACTTCTTTCTGACTATACCATTTCTACCCTATCTCTGCTCTCTTAATTTTTCAGTATTGAAGAATTGAACCCCAGGGGTACTCTACCATTGAACTATATTCCCAGCCCTTGTATTATTTTTTGAGATAGGGTCTTGYTAAGTTGCCTTAGCTTCCCACGTTGTTGAATCACAAGGGTGTTCTACTGCACCTTGCTTTTAAAATTTTTCTAAATACAAGTTTATAGTAAGATCTAAGAAAAGGGTTCAACTGTATATACACAGTCATCCCTTGGCATCCCTGGGGGACTGGTTCAAGGACTCCTAATTGGATACAAAAATCCATGGAGCCTAAATGCCTTTATATAAAATGACATGGTATCTGCATAGATTACTTATAATACTTAATACAATATAAATGGTATATAAATAGTTGTAAAATTGCATTGTTTAGGGACTAAAAACAAAAACAAAGTCTGTACATGTTCATCAGAGATGCAATTTGTAAATAGAGAAAAGAATGCCCTTCATATAACCAAGGTCTCTATGACTTCCATTATAATGGTGAATTTTTATTTGATTCTATCTCAGGAGTAGATTTATTCTGAAATTGTGTCACAATTTTTACCTGTTAAAATATATTAAAATTTTACTTCTAAAAAATTGGCCACTGATAGGAAAAAGTCAAGATTATGTGATTTTCAACATTAATTAATTAATGCTTTTTTAGGTACCAGTGTAGACAGCCATGTAGATTCTCCCAAAAGACCCGAATAAGGCTCTTGCTGTTTTGTAGATATTGTGGTGTACTAAATATCTGGGAAATAAAGAACACGCTGTTTAACAGAAACCTTTGCCCTCTGTTGCCAAGCAGCCACATAGTACTTACCACTTTATCTTCATAAATATATTTATAGCTCTGTTATCAGTTTCTTGGATCAGTTCTCTCCTATTTTTTCTAATAAAATGCCACATAATTCTTCTGAAATATTACTTTGATCTTTTTAAAATGTTAGCTTATAGTAAGATCAAGTAGGTGTCTGACAGGCAAATGCTTTAAAATACTTGCTGTCCATATCTTGTGGGATTTTTGTTTGTTTGTTTGTTTGTTTTGGTTGTTGTTTAATCAGAAACCAAGAGGTCAACAAGCTAGGTTATAAACCTRGAGAATTTTTAAATTTTTACTCAAATACTCAGCTGTCACAGACCAAAGAGATGGGACACAAATTTAATAGCCACAATTCAGGCTGGATATTTGAAATATGAAAACTGAGAGTATAACAGATTAAGTAGAACAGTGTGGCAATCCCTGAATTTCACATAATTAAGTGGCTCCCATTCCCTTTCATTTTAAAAGTAGCAATATATACACACATATGTACATACATAAACGTGTACATATGTGTACATATAAAACAAAGACAAACATATCAGACTCAGCTATAGACACAGGAATACCAATAAAAGTAATGCCCACATTAGAAAAACATTTACCACTTCACTAAATTACAAAATCCAATATTTGTCTTTTTTATATTTTGTGTAGAACAGAATCACTTTCTCAAGTGTGACATGTAGTTCTCTATTTCATCTGTGTTTCAGTGAGCCTTTTAAATGCTATGACAAGGAGGGGTGAGACAGCCTCAACTATGTTTGTCAAGTGGGTGAGGAGTCAATTTTAAAAAATACTCCAAGCTGGGCATGACTACCCACTCCTATAATCCCAGTAGTGCAGGAGGCTGAAGCAGGAGGATCGAGAGTTCAAAGCCAGCCTCAGCAACAGCAAGGCACTAAAAAAACTCAGTAAGACCCTGTCTTGAAA